GGCATAGCCGTTTGGTCAGGTTCTATGCCGTACATGTACAGTGTACATCAGATTGAGAAGAACATATTCATTAGAAATTATATTCTTGCTGCATCTCCAAGTGCAGTACATGTCTGAGAATAGTTTAAAAAAAGTATAAAAATATTAACGTGACACTGACCAGTTCTGGGTAGCAGAGAGGCTGACTTGCTCACAAAAAAAATTAAACTTGCACATGAACAAGAACAAGACAGTAAAAAAATAATTTCGAAAGGACTGCAAGCAGTGTAATGACTTGCAGCACATGACAACATGTACTTGGCTTGACGCCTGATTCACACAAGACTGTATTCGAATGCATCCTTGGGAGACATCCAAGCTAACCTAGATGCTAATCTAAATGGCTAAGGTATAAAAGCCCTACTTGTACTACAGAAGTTCCAGAACTATTCCACTGTATCAATGAGTCGATGGCAATGCTGCATATTAGTAGTACCAAGAGTAGATAAACAGGCACACTCTTGGGTTATGTACTCTTGGTAGTACAGATATTTTCAATGTTAAAAGCTATTTTAATCTGTGCTTCGGTTATTCCTGGCTTCACTTACATGTACAGTCAAACCTCTTTAGGACGAACACCAAGGGAGCGATGGAATTTGTTCGTAATAACGGGAGTTCTTCTTATCCATATGTTATACCCAGTGAATAGACAGGGATTTATCCAATACAGCTATGAGCACTAGTTCTTCTAAAGCGAAAGTTTGTCTTATCAGTGTTCTTCAAGGTCTCACTGTATGTGTAATCTGTTCAGCAGCACACAGTTAACATCAAGTGGTATGAAGCATGGGTAGTCGATCATGTACATGTACTATGTATGTGCTGCTCAGAACGTCAGGAAGCTTGTAGTGCGGCTCATATACCATCCACATGAAGCGAAGTATGAATTCTGTCAGTCACCTAAAAATACATCCGATCTACGTGTCCACACATCTTTTAGCGAATCTATTCTGGACACATGGAGTGGATAAGTGAGGCACTGCTGTATGTATATGCAGCAATGGGACAAGTCATCTCCAGACTCCACAGTGCCTTGGTACAAACATGATCTCCATCATGATGACAGCTGCATATTGGACTAATGTAGAGTGTAGCTATGGCAATGACCACATCACAGTAGAGTGACTTGATCATCTCTGTCGCCGAGTGACACTATCCAGTACAGGTTATCTGTCACATTTTGAATGGTTTCCGTGGCACCCGTTCTCTCGTGGTATCCAGTGAGGGTACGGCGGTCATGATCCACAGTGAGTTGAATGATGTCACCAGTCTGCCACGGCTGACCAAGCGCTGTGCCATTGTGAAAAGGGTGTGAAGTTTGGCCCCACCACCCGTAACACCGTAACTCGTCTTGCTGGTAAGTTTCCAAATATGGGAAACTGGATGAGCAGGCAGAGAGAAAGATACTGCCGTTGCCTGTCCTATCTATCCTCACCTTCTGTGTAGTATTGCCAGTCTGCTTGTTGATCTGTGTAGTACACACTGATGCGTGGTGCCTGATAGGCGTAACGCACTTAACAGAGGCTCCGCTACCTTCAATCATCACTGACTGCTACAGCGAGATGCATCGAACAATGGTGCCGGCTGAGTATCAACAACCAGCAGCCCATGTGGACTCCCTTGCAGGTGAATATCAGCAACAGTAGCTGACACAGTGTAATGACCAGCTGGCAGTGATCCATGATCAATCTGAACACGTCCAGGTAATGATTCACACAGAGTGTCCAAACTTAACACGTCCTCATCATCACAGCTCTTCACAGTGACTCTAATGGCGATGTTGTCAAGTTGTGCTTGACTTCCAACGATGGTTGGAGGAGGAGTACATGAACTGGCAGTTGTGGTATCTGTAGCAGAAGAAATATCAGTACACGCATCCAGTTGGAGACGAAGGGCGACATCATCATGAGTCGTTACTTTGTCAGGACATTCCAGTACGGCACAGTCAACCACATCCAGAACAGCTCCACATTTCTCAATGCCATTCTCCAGTTCTGTGGTGTCGGTACTAGCAAAGACGATTCCACCAGCTGTGCATGGCTTTCCTTCCACTCCTGTTGTTTTCATGGCTTTGTCCAAGGTTCCATCTATCCACGAAAACATACGCAACAGGTCAACATCACCCGAACCTGACTGCAGAATGAGCCCAGCACTCTCCACTTGTGCAACACACTCTTGAAGGCGATTCAGCTGCTTTTCCAGTGGTATCAGCTTCTTTGACCTCTTGGCATCCAGCTCCGCTAACAGATCTGCTTTACGTTTCTTCAATCTGTCACTCTTCTCCTTGATAAAGTCGGTCACCTCAGCAGAAGCACATTCTGTTTGTTCATTCAGTGCTTCAATGTTCTTCCTAACACTTCTCATGGCTTTGTCGATGACACCATCAGATTCGGATGTGCAGCTAGCTAGCTTTTCAGAAAGCTTGTCACGTGACATTTGACCAGCACTGGGGATGTCCAAAACCTGATGATCTATGTTTGTGTGAAGGCGGCAGCTTGCATCTTGGGCACAGAACCTGGTTACATTGCACGCAGAATCGATCCAACTTTTCATTTGTGTGCAACGCACACTGGGGATTTCGTTGGCCATGTGCTCTGCCTGTTGATCCTGCACTGCTAGACATGGTAGATGAGGAGGTGGCAATTCGGATGAGCGGTTTCACAATATGTCCTTTGGTTCCTTTGTTCAGAGAATGTACGCCGGCGTGTGCCTCACACATTCTCACATGGCAGTTCTCACAACTGCTTGTTGCTGGAGTATCGTCTCCGCATTCTTCGCATGAAGATATCGCCTGACTCTCCAAATTTCCATGGAGCACAACACTTGGCAGTGACCGTAGCGGCTCCACACCAACAGGCAGCTGCGTGGAGGAGAAACATTGCGGACACTTGATTGATCCGTCAAAGTCGATGTTATTTTGCACACAGGGTACACACAGCGTGTGCAGACAGGATATATACTTTAGAGTTGTGTTCGATGAGCCACAACCATGGCACTGAGCAGTCGACATTGTCCGCTGGCTAGTACGTTTGGTAGCCAACTGTGACTTGAAAAGTAAACCTTCAGAGCTTCTTCCCACATGTACTTTGAGCGTCTTGCTCAGTGGCTCGGACAGTACTGCGTGACCGAGGCTGGACAGAAACTTGAGTGAGGACCTAGGAGTTAGGTCAACACGGGTTGTCCATGCCATGGGGTGCCATGCCCATGGTTGTCAGTTTGAAGCACATCATTTGGATTACATAATCAATGTGTACTGACTGCAGACTGCAGATCTACTACTAGTACATGTACTAAAAGGTGT